GTACAGGTACTAATGTATCCAGTCACATACTCAGCATAGTCCTGTACGCTGACAGAAAAGTCCTCCAAGGTGGCTGCAGCTTTAAACACATTCCAGTCTGTCCGAGCTAAACAGTCCTGCAGGGTGTCTTCAGTCTCTGGGGTCCAGAGTTTAACTTGCTTGGTGACAGGGTTTGTTTGTTTCAGTCTTTGTCAATCAATCAATCAAACAAAAGTAATTTGTAGTTGCTCAACAGGGTTTTGTTTTAATAATAAAAATATTACATGGGGTGACTGTGGTTCAGTGGGTAGGGCAGTCCTCTCCCAACCCGAGGGTCAGAGATTTGAATCACGGTGCCTGCAGTCCACATGTTGAAGTGTCCTTGGGCAAGATACCGAACCCCCAAGTTGCCCTTGATGGTTAGAGCCATCAGTTGCGGTGGTGCCACAGATGGCTGCCTCAGTTCTGTACCATAAACAAATTCCTTGTGTGTAACATACTTGGCCAAATAAAGGTGATTATTATAATAATAGTAAAGTCTAGACCTTAAGTGACCTGAGATGACTTTTGTTGTGATTTGGTGCTATACAAATAAAATTGAATTGTATGGTATAGTTTATGCAGATTCATGCACTTCAAAGTGCTTTACAGATGACTGACAAACTGATAATGAGACAAAACAAGTGTGAACGTTGAATGCAATTTAAAACTGATAAAAGATCAATTTGAAAAACACGAGCACTTTAAAATAAAAAAACAAAAGTAATATTAACAGTTTACATAAAAGCCAGTGTAAACAGATGTGTTTTTAACCTACGTTTAAAGCTCTCACTGTGTTCTGCTCCTCTGGAAGTTGTTTGCATATGAAAATTGTGCTGCAAATATGTAGTGTTTTGCAGGAGGTGGAGTATGTATGAGAATAGAGGTCATGGATTTTGGTAAATGTGGTCACTGAATGTATTTTGTCTGAAAGCAATGGAAAATGATTCAGTTGGGTCCACTTCTGTTTTGCTGGTTAGCATCAAAGGGCAGATGCTGGCCGTGGCACCTGGTGATGACATCACATTCATTGTCCACCAGGAAAATGTAGGATGAAAGTTATTTCCTGATTGGTTCCTCCTCCATAAATGATTTAACCTGCTGACTGTCATCACTTCTTTTACCAGGGTGACACAAGCAGCACCAAGTACCAGGTGGAACTTGGCGACGGAGTTCGGGCCATCTACCAGAACCTTACAGTGACAGATGAACCCATCCAGCATCGCTATGAAACCCCAGGCATTTACAGGGTCACTGTGAAAGCTGGGAACATGGCAGGACACGATGAGGCCACCATGTACATCCAGGTCACAGGTCTGAATCGGTTTTTCTTTTTGGAAGCTAGTGGCTTTTTTTCTGTATAGTTCTAACAACACATAAATCACACAACCAGGCAGTAACCTGCACCTACATTTGCCTTAAATTTCTTTTTAATGCCTGATAGAGAAAAAGACAGCATCTTTTGGCAGTCTGTCTCTCTCACAGGAGGTGGCGAGAGAGACAGACGTGTCTCCTTATTAGGATGACTTTTTATTTTTCACTTCCCAAGCAGAAATTATTTCCTGCCACTTAGCATTTCTGACACTGGAAATTTCATAAAATAAGGGAAAACTATTTTGTCTCGGTCAGTGGGGATTAGAGGCTGTAGTCTATTTTTATTTGTCTTTTAATCTGATAAGACAGCTCTGTCTTTGAACGGCTTTAAACCTCAAAGTGTGTGGGTTTAAGTTGATAATAAAGACCCTTTTGGGAACTGTCCTCTTCAGATATTGCATTTTTCTTATTTGGAGCACTGGTATGACATGTTCATTTATATAACTTTACCTACAATTTAAGGACATTAAAAACCAAATCATACACAAGTCACATCCAGTTTCGGTGTGCATGAATTCCTTGAATTTATAATCTTATCCAAACTAATCTTTAGTCTTTCACAGCTCCTTTACAGGAAGTGCACCTGGAAGTGGTTCCCATTGCTGGGAGGAACCATGAGGTCAATCTGACCACTGTCGTTCTCCTCGCTGAAGCCAACCTGACTGTCTTCTACTGGTGGATAGGCGATGGCTTGGGGGTAAAGGACACACAAAAATTGGCAATGACTAATTAAGCTGTTTACTTATTCATTTCTTGGTCTCTTAAAACTACATTAATCTTGTTTTAACTACCTGGGAACAGCAAAACAAGTTGTAAACATGATATATTGTACAAAGTTGATATGGTAAATGTGTTAACCTACTATAAACTGTTGTAGATTTGCACCTTTAGCAGGCAAAGAGCAGCATAAACATTCAATAGGTGTCATGTCATGTCCAAGTCCAATATGTACTGTAAGTAAATGTGCTGTAAGTCACTTTGTAGCTGCTAAATGTTCCACTGTGTTTATCTGTGTGGCCACTGTTTGATGCTGGACAAATAGGCAAAGTTGTGTTTCAAGAGCTTAGCTCAACCATAATGATTTTAATCAGTATCATCATTCTAAATTTATGATTAGAATTGGTAGTTATTGATTTATTTAGGTTGGAAGCCAGTTATTGATGATTTTAAGGTTTATATTTTATTGCTTGGTTTATATTTTATTGCTTGTTGCTTTGCTGTAGCTCTATTAAGCTTCTATATAAAATTCCTGAAAAGGTTTAATACTCTCTGTGGTTATTGAGTCAAGTTTGATGTTATTGACATTCCTATAATTTTGTTGAGTTAACACTTTTCAGTGGTAATGCTTAAGACACACATTTCTCAGTGTTTGGTTACCCAATTCCCAGTGAGTTGGGGTTACATAAGTCTTAGTGAGCGTGTGAGGTGGCATAACAGTTCACAGGGGTGACAGAAGGCCCAGACTGAACTGCTAAAATGACTTTTAGACAGCTTCATCAGAAAAGGGCTTATCTAAAATATCCAACTGTTTACTTGTTACATAATACACACTATTCTTTAAACATCCTATCCTTAATAACATCTTAGGTCAACTAAATACTGTGCAAAACAAATATGGTCTTAAGTGTCCAGTGATACAGCTTTTATTGGTTATTTCAGACTAAATTTAACACTTCCTCAAAGAGCCAGAGTGTACGGGCTTATAAAAATTTCTCAGTACAGTGACATCTGAGGGTTTAAGGAGGTAGCTGCCACAATAAACTGCAGGTTGTTGTTAT